CTTCTTCATTTCGACTGAAGCACGACGGCGAGTGATTTGTTCATCACAAATGTTTGTGAGAGAGCCACCTAGAGAGGTCATAACACAAGCAACCTCTAGACAACTAGATAGGTGGGGGCCTAAAACAGTCTTTGTCATTGGGATCTTCGGACAGGAGGGTGCCTTTTCAGCACGTGCTTCTTCCTGTCTAAATCTGAAGTCCCTATAGAGGCAACTACAACCTCTACTGGTTGGACCCTTTTAGGGCACTTGTACTCTGGACAAAAGGGAATTATGTGGTCGGGGTCACCACATTTAAAACATTGGCAGGCCTATCGTCGGTTTTCCCAGACATCCTCGTCTATACCCATATCTTGACAAGGTTTGCCTGCAGGTATCACCGGGTGTGCTGAATACATCCGCCAATTCCTAACTCTTCCTCTACCCTCTATAAAGGGAGAACCTCTACCACCTTGCAAGCCACCATAACCCCTACCTCCCACGTAGTAGCTACCGTCGCCACCACCCCTTGGGCAGCGGGTCCTCGACCTCCACCTTGTTCTCAGGGTCCTCTACCTCAGTCTCTACCTTGTCGCCCTCCCCCACGAACTGCAACTGCCACATAGTCCCCTACCCGGGTTACTTGTTTGTTGTACTCTTATATGGTACTATTTATCCACCTCTTAATGACCTGCAGATCCTTCTAATATTGGCAATAGTTTGCCTCCTGCAGAAACCCGGCATGGTATATAGCTCTCTTGCTAAACTTTTCATAGGTCATCCCCTCTTCTTCAGTACGGAGATATAACTGGGTCTTGAGGGGCTCTGCTCGCGCTCTTGCGAAATTGTTCAAGATCTGAACGGGGGTCAGTCCATGTTTCGAACATTGCAGCAGCTCGTCCATAGTGCCCTTGAGTGTGACGCACTCTTCCACTTGCGGTCACTAATGTTAAGGATGAGGGACTCCGTACAACGAGTGGTCCTTCAAGGCCTTGAAGAAGTCCTCAATCCCAGTACGTTGTGAGTATTGCACCATCGAGGTGCATCCGACCTCTTTCACTAAAGAAATAGCGAAGCCATCAGCACACGGTCCCAATACAGAATCAACTATGCATACAGGTACGCGTCCATCGTCGTCTTCCAATGGAAAATGCTCTCCTCCTTTTTCCTAGTATATGAGTTTTATTTTCATCTTCTTTCTCCCTTCATTCTCCTCCCTCAGACTTGCCTTCCTCATCTTTATTTTCTCCATCCTTTTTAGGACCTTCCCCTTTCTTGTCATGATCCCCATCATTGCCACCATCTCCAACCCCGCCACAACCACCTATCTTAACTGCACTCATGGTGTTAGTGAGTTCCTGAGTGAAGATATCTTCTAATTGGCGTGGATTTTGTAGGACCATATGGTCCACCTGGCTGGATGACGCACCAAGGTAGTTGTTCCAGGTGCCCTCAAACTCCAACTGGTGTCGTTCTAACTTCCCAAGGTGATATTCAGCAAGGTGTCGGCAAGAAGGCTCCAGCGTTCCTTGGTTTCCACTTGTTTCCCTTTCTGCTCCTTCAGCAACGCCTGGAGTTTCTCCTCTTCCTCCTTCAACCTTTTTTTTCATCAAATTATTTCCTTTTTGCGGCAAGCAGCTTTTGGTTGAGCACTCTTCTTCTCCTCAATCAGCAACTTCCTTTCCTCGTGATCCTTAGTTGCTGCCAACTTCGCCACAAACCGATCTTTCTCCTCGTCAGTTTCTTCCGGAAGCTCTGTCCGGTACCCAAATTTCCCCACCCAGTCCAAATCCTCAACCTGCTGGAGTCTCAACTCCGCAGCATGACTGCTCTCCGCGACCTCCTCTCCTTATGGTTGGACTCGTCTTCTCACCAATCCTCCTCCTCCTCCTTCGTCCTCTTCTTCTTCAACTTCAAACTCATTTTTCAATTTTTTTTTTTCTTCTTCATCTCTTTCTCCATCTTTTTTTTCTCCTCCTCCAATTTATTTTTTTCCTCCTCCGTTTTTTCTTTTTCTCCTCCTTTTCTTTTTTTTCCCAGCCAACTTCCTATCGATCTCTGCCCTATTAATCTGTTGTACATGGATGTGTGGTCCCACCAGACCTCATGGCTGCACTCATGCCGCATGTCTGGTGGAATCCTACAGGGAACAAAAATCGGTGAAGGTCAACATTGCGAACATCGCGTACAAGGTCATCCATGGTTACTTCAGGTCAACATTGCGAACATCGCATGGCCCCACCATAACACGGACAAGGTCAACATTGCGAACATCGCATAGTCATCCATGGTTACTTCAGGCACAAGTATGTACCCTCCACCTCCTCACCACGTAGACCTCACCCTCCACACAGTGTCACTACCACTACGCAGTCAGGCTGGTGGGCAACCAGCAACTTAAGGTCAAACAGCAAAGACCTTAGGAATTATTTAACGACGCAGACAGACGTTGTGCCCACCAGGATCAAAAGGTTTGCTCTCAAGACTTATAGCTCCTCACTATGTCAGCACTGGTTCGGTCACATGCCGATCAGTACTGGTCTTAGGGTTAGACGAGTTGTTTTACAAGCGCTTGCCGCTCATTCCCATGCTTCCTACTTTACGGGTGATACATCCAACTGTCGAGCTTCTATTTGAGACACAACCTTACTTCGTACACATGTGTCTTTCCAAATGCTGACTCAAGACAAAATTCAGATATGTCACCTAGCGTACTATCCACCAGCAGCAACACCAAGATGTGGGAAGGTACCATGACACTCGTTCATTCATAAAAAGCAAATGCAGGGCTTAGGAGGGCGATGCAGTTCACTTGTGAATGTTCCTTCGATGAAGCTCCTCAACACTCCTCGCGTGCAGGTACCTAATCACCATCCCCCAACCTGGTCACTCCAAATCTCATCTCGTCAGCCTTAATCTTGCCAGCGTTCATCATCAGCGGATGCAGCAAGTACCAGCTCTGATACCAATTGCACCGAGCCTCACTGCTCGTCACCTTGAGCACACACACACACACTGAGAGATCACACGAAGACCACACTGGAGACCAAAGATGCAAAGTCCAAATAAGCGCAGCTTAGAATTTCCAACAAATTATCATATCAAGCAGTTACAGAGTTCCAGTCACCAGCGATCATCATCGCATAGTTCAGCAAACCAATTCCAGCAATCCTCATTCCAGGTTGGTGACTCTCTCTCTCTCTCTCTCTCTCTCTCTCTCTCTCTCTCTCTCTCTCTCGCTCGACTTTCTTCATGCATGCGCTCACTCTCTCTCTACTCTCACTCTCCCTACTTGAAGATCTTGACTCTGAATACATTTGCCAACACCTGACTCTATCTCCTACTACTAACTATGCGGCTATGGCCGCCTTCCTTCCTCAATGCAGCGCTGCTCAGCAGGGCTCTCATGCATTCTACTTGCAGATAGCGCACAAGCACTTCAGCAGCACTTCCACACTTCTCACAAATGAGCAACATCCCTGAAATGTGGCTGGCCAGTCCTTAGATTGACTTGGACTGAGCCTGAACTCGTCCCAGCCTCTGCTTCCTTTGGCTTGACTTGGACCCGGCACCACATGCCCATGGCCTGCTTGCTTCAGAATGTCAAGGCCGGATACTTTCCCAAATTTTCATTGGTGTGCTGCTGCTTGGGTCTGTGAGTCATGACTTTTCACCTGTGGAACATGACTTTTGACTGTGGGATGTGACTCTTGCCTCTCGGACATGACTTTTGCCTGGAGAAGTGTCCTTTGCCAGTGGGATATGACTTTCCAATACGACTTTTCAATATGAGACGTGAGTTTTGCTTATAGAATGCAACCTTTGCCTCTGGGATGTGACTGTTCACCGGGTGCCTGTTGGACTTGACTCCTAAGGCACCCGACTGTGACCTTTCTGAACTGGCCGACTTGGCGTCCCTTGGCCTGAGACCTTGACCCTGAAATTCGAATTTGGGGTCTGCATCGTGGAATGCCTTTCAAGATGGACATTTTGGTTCGAGATTGTGAAGATTGGCTAGGGACAGATAGTGCAGGATATTAGCTCTGGGAAGTGGATGGAGGTGGGTTGGAAGGGCTCACGCTCCATCAGCACAATATTCTCATTACAAAGTAATAATAAAAACAGGCCATAGGGTAAAAATTTATGGGAGGGCTTTAAGAGCCCACAAAGGGTACAGTGAAGATTGGCTAGGGAAAGATGGTGCAGGATATTGGCTCTGGGAAGTGGCGGGAGGGAGGTTGAAAGGGCATCAGGCTCAATCAGCACAATACTGGCAAGACGTAATAAAACACGCTAGTAAAAAGTTTGGCTGGTGGCTTAGCTCAGTTGGTAGAGCACGAACGCGACATTCAGGGGGTCGCGGGTTCGATTCCACACGGTCTCCATTGAAGCCCCCACACCCTCCTGCAGTTCGCTACGGGTTGACCAGCTGAGATAGTCAGCTTGCCCCCCAGGGGAGGGCTTGGGGAGGGAGGGATACCCTCCCATCCATTGCTCGGGGTCCTCGGGGTTACGAAGAAGCTGTGCACGTGAGAAGGTCCGTGCCAACCCATAACTCTTAGGGCGCCCCAGCTTGTGTACATAGATATGAATCTGCTGCAGCGATTGACACTGAGAACTGGACTAAAAGGTTAGGTAGAGTGAGGTACATGAGTGAAGAATATAGCTTAGTTAAAAAGGGGAAAAAAAAGGGTTTCAAAATTGAAACATAATATTGCATCGATTTATGCATGTTGTGCTTCGCAAAAGATTAGCATCCAGCCCACCAGAGAGCACGTTCGCCTCAAAATAGATGATCTGATCATCCTGGGATGCAGGCATCAACTCCTGTAACAAGGCAGGTCCTCGATGGGTGCCAAATAGTTCCCACAACTGGGCTTCCACAGTGCTTCCCATTCATCCAAAGAACCAGCAGCATTTCCCTTTCTGAATCTGCAAGTGAACACTGAACCCATACCATCTCTACACTACCCAGAAGCAATTCCTCGAAAATAACACAGAACATCCACGTTATGTCACACCTTTTTGCCTGGCTGTCTTAAGGCCTGTTTCCCTCTCAAAAGGGACAGTGATGTGAAACCAGCGAGCTTTCTTGAGGATTCCCAATGTAGTCTCTGAATACAAAACATAGCACATGGTGATTCACATCCACACACACCCTCCCACCCAATGCATTCACCCATCCAACCGTGAGCGGGTGCGTGCACACACACACACACAAGAACCAACACAATATAAGTACACACGCATGATAAGACACATACTGATATAAACCAGACACACACCACTCCATGCACCCTACAATACCCTCCCCAGTGAGGCACACACACGCAAAAAGAAAAGAAAAAAAAGAGCAAAGAAAAAAAAGAGCACACAGGTGCAATAAATCGCACACACACACGCAAAAAGAAAAGAAAAAAAAAGAGCACACAGGAGCAATAAATCACACACACACGCAAAAAGAACAGACAAAATAGAGCACACAGGTGCAATAAATCGCAGTTTCCCAGTCGGGTTGTGCACCAAGTGTTCAGCTGTGTAGTTTGTTTACTTGCTGTTTCTTTGTTTTGAGCTTTTGCTGGGCTTGATCCTGTGACCTGTAACTCATATGTTTGTATATGCTGCGCTCTATGGGACTTGATCCCTGAGTCTGTCACTAGTAGTCTCTGTTTGGTAGCCTTGGGACATTCGGCCTTTTCCTTTTGCCTTGTCATAGGTCTAGGTCCCCTTTTCCCCCTGTTTCCATCTAGGTACAGATGAGTCTTGGGTTGTTGCCTCTGGAGTCGGTCGTAGGTCTAGTGTTACATGCTGCGCCTGCACACGAGGGCCATTTTCCAGGCCCTGCGTCCCTCAGGCTGAAAGCCTGAAAACCAGGGCCTACAGGCCCCATGGCTGTTTCAGCCTGA